TAATTCCTGCATTCCTCAAATCCCAGCTGATTCTCTACACAACATCAGCTGATATATAATCCAGACACTGATTCTCTGATCAACATCGGCATCAAAACAGGAACAGCTGATATATAATCTGGAAACTGATTCTCTATGCATTAAGTATTATGCATGTTCAGATTCTTTAATCAACATCAACTGATATATAATCCAGGCACTGATTCTCTAATTAACAATCAGCTGATTATTTAATCAACCAGAGCCGATTCAATACTCTACAAGATCTGATTATCTATACAGGAACATCTGATAACAGCTGATATATATAAACCCAACACTGATTCTAATCTCTGTACAGCTGATAAATAAACCCAACACTGATTCTTATCTTTGCAGTTGATATTTAAGCCCTATACTGATTCTAATCTCTTCAGCTGATATATGAAAATCTCTTAGGCTAATATTTAAATTTGTTCTTTTAGAAATTCGTAAATTTACAAGCCCAGTTAGATAATTTATTAGGCTGGCATTGTTAAGTACCTTTATAATATGCAATTTGTTATAATTAAAGGGAGTGTTCGCTAAAAATGAAAGGGGGTATAGGCTTAATGCGATAAAAAAGCGCCTTTGATCGCTACTAATCTTACTTCTATCTGTTGCGTCTATAAGGAGAAAATTGTTAAAAACGTCTCATACCGAATAACTTAGGGCCCATACAAATTAAGAAAATTGCAAAATACGACTTAGGCCGTAAAAAAAACAATTTAATTTTAAACAAATCATTCAGATATTACAACCTATAGCCTATACCCCCTTTAATTTTTCGCGAACACTCCCTTTAAGTACTGTTGAATGGCCGAGTATATTAAAACTAGATAATCCAAAAGGTTAGCATTTTATTAATTTATAACGTAGTTCTTGTTAGAATATGTCAGGAAACAAGCTTTCAATTATCGAATTAATATGAATTGTTAAATTCCTCACTGTTTTATCAGGGGATCGATTCCCTTATACAGAAAGGTATGGTTTAAGATTAAAGAATAACCAAGCGGGAAACAACTTAGAATTGAAAATATTTTATGGTTGAGAAATGTGTCCATTTCTGTCCAGGGATTTCAATATTTATTTGCGTTTTTTATGATGCGGAACTACGTCAATATACAGGGTGTCCCACGAAACATACAGTTGGTGAATAGTTTAAAATGTCTTCTTCCATAATTTCATAAGTTGTTTGATACTTGTTTTTTATATGACAGTTATATTATAGTAAAATTGATTTCACAGTAAAATATATTCATTCAAAAAAATAAACTGTAAAAAGTCTTTAATATCTATTACAATATGTGGAAGAAGACATTCAAAACTATTCACCAACTGTCATGTTTCGTGGGACACCCTGTAACTGCAGAGGATACTAAACAGTGGACAGTGGTCACATGAACAGAGACAACTTCAGGCAGAAGCAGAACTGCATTTTGATATGTTCAGTGTGTACTGTGTAAATTTATTATTATGATGAAACATGTAAAGGACAAAGAAAGTGAACTTTTACAATAATTAGCTATCATGTCAAAAAGGAACTTGAGGACAGGTTGGAGATAAACAACATCTCTGTACATTTATATCTGGCAAGTTGAAAAATGTCGTCTTTATCTATGGTTGGCGCCATAGATAAATAAAAAAACATAGATAGCTTATGTACGCAAAATCACCCAGAATTGTACAGTCGGTGAAATCACACTTCTAGGCAAAGATGTAATGGAAAAACAGTTATTTCAAAAGTGTACGCATCTTTTGTACTGCAGTGTACTGTCTCTGGGCGGTAATGTAAATACAAGACGGATGTTACAGCCTGACATGGGATCCATCTTTCACATAAAAAATCAATGAAATATTCTGGTCATAGGAAACTATTATGTGAATTATCAAAATTATCAAATTTAATGCTTTTAACCTCCTCGGATACTAAACGAACACTGCAGCATCTATTCTTGTTTACAAATTCCGCCCAAAGAGAACTGGTTTCGATATGTACGCAGAGTATACACGACCGCAATTAACTTTCCTTGCATTTCACCCTTGCTTCTAGGGGTCAAATTGTACTTCAATGACAAGCGGGATCGTTTGGTGTTTTATCATGATTAGAATAGATAACTAATGATTTCATATTTGTTCAGCTTATTGAATTGAATATAAATTACAGGCATATAATTAGTTTAAGTTCATGAGGTATTTTAAATTTTTCATGTTAGAAGTATGGGGTTTAAAGGGGGCTAGACCCAAAATTTGTTTAAATATGAAAGCAGTATTTTAAGGAATGGAAGCAAGGAGTATGGGATAGAAGGGAGATACAACTGACGCCGCCCGCCCGCCAAATGATTATGCATGCTTTGCAGACGGGTACTCCATTTGTATAAGAAATATTCAGAAAAGGTTATTGTATACGCGGTAATTGTACATAAGACAAATATTTCTTATTCAAATGAAGTACCTTCTGCAAAGCATGTATATTGTATAATCATGAGCATGTTAAAGAGGAACATTAAAACATGTTGCAGCATGTTAAAGTGGAACAAATGAAGACATGTTGCAGCATGGAAAGAGGAACATGAAAACATGTTGCAACATGTTAAGGAGGAACATGAAAACATGTTGCAGCATGTTTAAAAGACATGAAGACATGTTACAGCATGTTGAAGTGGAACATGAAAACATGTTGCAGCATGTTAAAGTGGAACATGAAAACATGTTGCAGCATGTTAAAGAGGAACATGAAAACATGTTGCAGCATGTTAAAGAGGAACATGAAAACATGTTACAGCATGTTAAAGAGGAACATGAACACATGTTGCAGCATGTTAAAGTGGAACATGAAACATGTTACAGCATGTTAAAGTGGAACATGAAAACATGTTACAGCATGTTAAAGAGGAACATGAACACATGTTGCAGCATGTTAAAGTGGAACATGAAACATGTTGCAGCATGTTAAAGTGGAACATGAAACATGTTGCAGCATGTTGAAGTGGAACATGAAAACATGTTGCAGTATGTTAAAGTGGAACATGATTGAAAACATGTTGCAGCATGTTAAAGAGAGCATACATACTTATTTAGCGCATAACTGTTCATTTTTAAATATTCAGAAGAAGGAACAATGGACAAGATAATTTTTGAGAATTTTTGTAAAATGCTAAGGCTCTTTGCTATGAGAAACATATCAAGAAAAAATATTTATGATGATTTGGAAATATTTGAATATACAAGATTTAAATTTAAAACGGGGATTTCGTAATCGTTTAAATAAAATGTATAAACAGGAATTTCCCATCCAGCATAAAGACGACATCGATAGAGATAAGACGACATTGATGGAAAGACGTCGACAACACAGATGTTTTAGTTACTGTTTTTATAGGGTTACGATACAGATACTGCAGGGTAACAGGGCCGGATACGCGCAAAGGATGAAAAAAGACTGTTATTCTTTGTTCCCACAATGCTTTTCTAAGATTTTTAAACAAAATTTAATGGAAGATTTTTATCAGCAGAACAAATGTTTTAATTCTAACACATGCTATGTTTGCAAAAGAATCGGAGAAACCAAAGACGACTTTACAAAGAAAAGAATAAAAAGATTAAAAAGAGTAAAATAAATAATCAAACATAAAGGATGTCAAAAATCAGCGACAATTAAAAAGATGCTTAAAAATGCCCGTTTTTCATAGAGCCTATATCTCTTTCACACTCCGTAAAGCCTTTTTTTTACTTTTTTAACATTACAAATAAATCTTTAATTTTATTTCTAAAAGTTGTTAGTTCATCGTCGAAAAATACTAACAATCCACCAATAATTTATATTAAATATAGTGTAAACAATAGATATGTAACTTTATCCTTTCCTTTTCCTTTTATTTCTATTTTTTTTTTTGAATTTGGGGGAAATATTCCCACAACCTCTACTTTTAGAGGTTTTAAAATATTTTCTCCTGAAACACTTTATTTTGTACGTTTTTGTTATATTTCATAAATAAATAATTTTTTACTTACTTTACTCAATATTTCCTAAGTTTCAAGTAGTCATTGAAGTCTAATCCTTTGTTGGTAACCCTGTATTAATTGGTATCAAATATTTAACTTTTTCCTGGCACGTGAAAACCAAAGCATTTAGCGATTTTTATATTTTGATTATATTTTGATTTAGATATAATATGCAGAACAGTAACAACAAATTATATAAACAGAATCTTAAAAATTTTTACAATTTTTAACAAATAATTGTTTCTATGCATAAACGAAAAAAATCAATTGATAAAAAGATATAAATCTGTACAAGACATTAAAATTTTTAATTTAAAAAAAAACTTTTAAATTATCATTTCTCTGGTAACACAAATGTTTAAATATACAATATAAATCTTGACAAGTTTTGTTAAACCGTGCTAAATTCATTAGTTACCGAAATATGAAAACACTAAACATATTGCAAAACGAAGAATTTAGTCAATTATGAGTTATGACATAATTGAATAGCTATGAAAAAAGTCAATGGGTCAATTTAACCACCCTAGAAAAATTCCTTCAGTTATTGCGACTTTAGGAATATATCATTTTTTATTCGTATGAACCCGTGTTTTTTGAGATTTAAATTGAAAAATCTAAATCTAAGCATTATTAAAGCAAAAAAACCTTACAAAAACAAATTTTATCCTAAAATATGAAATAGAGTGCAATATCTAGTTTGAGTACATACTTTATAAAACAATCCAGCTTGATAAAGATAAAGAATATCCTTGAATTTAGAAAAATCTCTGCTAGTGTACTGAGTAGTCTAGAATCTAGAACAATATTTGCTAGTGTACCGAGTATAGTCTATAATCTAGAACAATATTTGCTAGTGTACTGAGTATAATCTTGAATCTAGAACAATCTCTGCTAGTGTACTGAGTATGGTCTAAAATCTAGAACAATCTCTGCTAGTGTACTGAGTATAGTCTAGAATCTAGAACAATCTCTGCTAGTGTAATGAGTTTAGTCTAGAATCTAGAGCAATCTCTGCTAGTGTACTGAGTATAGTCTAGAATCTAGAACAATCTCTGCTAGTGTACTGAGTATAGTCTAGAATCTAGAATAATATTTGCTGGTGTACTGAGTATAGTCTAGAATCTAGAGCAATCTCTGCTAGTGTACTGAGTATAGTCTAGAATCTAGAATAATATTTACTAGTGTACTGAGTATAGTCTAGAATCTAGAACAATCTCTGCTAGTGTACTGAGTACAGATGCCATCATTGGTTTCTTCTGTAAGAGATGTCTCTGTATACCTGAAATAGAATCTTATTTATAAGTAAAAATCCAAATATAAAACCTAACACTATTGCCAATTTCCTTATGTTGAACAAGAAAAATGCTGTAACTTAAAATAAAAAATTAGGATTCATTCAAGACTAAAAATGTCCTCAGCTATAAAATGGCTCAGTAGTCAGTACAAACAAATATTTTTACAAATTGTTTACGGCATAGTGTCTCCGTCTGAAAATTACGAGAAACTTACGTTTTAATTTTTTCAGTAAAAATTATAATAATGAAACCTCAGTTATTTTGAAAATTGCTATGTCAACTTTTCCTGATTACGAACATTGAACAGAGGCATAATTTAAAGAATTTAAGCAGCGGCTTAAATTTGAAACGCGGTTCAAATATGATTGGTTCCACTTAAAATTGAATTCAATGTTTCAAGATTTAAGCCGGCGCTCAATTCTTGGCAAATTTGAGACGCAGCTCAAATTCATTAAACTCAGGTTGCTTAAGAGGAACTAATGGTGAAAAAATTAAGATAATTTCTGTCATTTGGTCAAGTTCTGAAATGTCGTCTTTGGAATGTAAATTATTAAATTATTTAAACAAGCAAACAGTAAAACCTCATTCCGTAGAAGTCCGGGCTGAGCCACCAATAAAAGAGTGTCAAGTATTTAACAGCAAATGGACAAAAAGTATGCTCACAGAAAGCATCAACAAATTTGCTTTATGTAATAAGTAAAGACGACCTACCCTGCTCCGTCCACTAAATTTCGTAGATTGCAGTAATTAGTTCCCTTATCAAGCACAGCATACCTAATAATAAATAATTACAGACAGAAGGACCCATACAACTGTAAACTACAAAGACGACATTTAACAATCTTTTATTTTTTATGTTTGCATAAAACAAATAGTTTTGCCAGAGCCGGTTCTTTTCCATATAACGTATGAACAGAGCCACGCCCGTCTTAAAGACGTACTTTGGGGGGACGATAATATGGTCGCTAGATGACGCTAAATAAATAGATAGATTGGTAAGTACGCACACAATCGGAGACCTCACGTGGTCGACCACTGTAGTTAATAAAAAAAAACCAGCTCAAAAGCTTTAAAATCACCTTATAGGATTGGGAATAGGAAGACGACATAAAAGCAAGCTTTTGAGTACTTTTATTGTTGTTAAAAGCAAAGAGTTTCACTGTTGTATATTAAAATCAACTTAAATGTTTTTTTTTACACAGCACAAATATATTATTTCTTGTTCTCTAGAATGATTTTTGTTTTGTTTTTCATATCTTGGGTCTTACAATCGTCTTCCTATTTAACAGTTGTATGGGTCCCATTGATCACTGTACAGTTAACTATGCACATGTCTCGCCAGAAAATAGAAATAAAGTTTTTACCTAAATACTGAATAAAATTAAGAAGTTGATTTTACTGTTTATTTACCAGAGCCTTGAGTTGGAGTTAGCATCAACTATACAAGCTCCCCCTGAGCTGGTCAGCTTAAAGGTCAGGTCATCAATATACCTGGATATTATTCAAATATGTTCAAGGTAATACAACCTCATCTGACCTAATCATCGGAGAGTTTTATGCTTTTTTAAGTAGTTTACAATTTATTATCAAAATCCTTAATCCGTAAAGGCAAAGTTTTTTTTGTTTTTTTAATTAATCGAGTTGTTAATTCCAAATTGTTTTTTAGTCTAAAATCCTCATTATCATGCACTTATTTACTGACTGATAATTTACCCTGACTAATAAATCTATTAATAACCCTGATTTACTTATTGATAATTTACCCTGACTAATAAATCTAATAATAACCCTGATTTACTAATTAATAATTTACTCCGTCAAACGTATCTATAAATGGCCCGATTGATCTATCTAGATAAATGACCTCCACTGACCTATCTATGAATGCAGGGGCGGATACAGGATACAGGATTTAAGGGAGGGGGGGGGGGGAGATTTTTTTAGGAACAAAAAATTCATAATTAGGAACAAATTTTTGTTTTGGCTTAAAAGAGTCAAAATTAATGACTGAAGACTAAAAATCTAGATTGTTAACTTTTCACACATTATAGTTTATTAAGACAGATATTTTTCCTGTTTTGCACTAGGGTTTCTTTCCCTAAAGCATGCTATTGAGAAGCTATTCTGAAAATAGGAACAAAAAATTCCAAATTCAGTGGGGGGATGAATGTCCCCCGCCCCCCCCCTGTATCCTCCCCTGTATGAATGACCTATCTAAAAAGACTCCAACTGACCTTGCTACTGGAGTTGTATGAGTAGCTTTAATCTCGTTTCCGTTTACGGAAACAAAATCGTATAAACATCTCTGTCCACAGGGTAGAGCAGGACAAGTTGAACTTGTTCCGGGACATAAAGCATCTCCCTGATAAACAATTCATAATATCCCGGCCTGTACAGTGTACAAAACAATTCATAATATCCCAGCCTGTACAGTGTACAAAACAATTCATAATATCCCGGCCTGTACAGTGTACAAAACAATTCATAATATCCCGGCCTGTACAGTGTACAAAACAATTTTAAATACGAATTCTAATTATCTGATCTAAAACTCTAAACCCCGTCGTGTATTAGTTTCAGCTATTTTCTTAGATTTCTAAAAAAGCTTTTATTCAGCAGAGACAAATTTACATGCGAAATCACAGCTACAGGGGATATGAAGTAAACTTTAAGTACTCATCTTATCTTTTTCCATCTGCAATTAGGGCTGGGCACGTTCCAACTATGTCTAGCCGTTTCGTTAACGATTAGTTCCAACCGTTAAAAAATAAGAATTTCAGTTAGCCGTTAATTTTAAAGGTAAGAACGGAACGTTCGTTCCGTGAGTTCGGCATTTCCGTTTTTTTAATTACCTTTAGTAAACGATCTCAATTTTATTAACGGCGTTAACGGAAAATTTTCAACAATCATTAATAGCTAGAGCCGTTAATTGTACCGTTATTACAAAACCAACGGCGTTAATGGCGAATAAAATTTCGTTAACGGTTTATAAACACAGAAGACAACATTTAAAACATCAAAACGTATAAAAATTTCAATTTTAATCAGAAAATAACAAAAAGTTTTAGGTAGCTTTTTGTTAACGCTTTTTAGAGTTATTTTTTTCTTTCAAAAACGGCCAATTCATTTCGTTAACGATTTAAAAATTAACGGTTTTTGCAGATCGATAACAGACTCTTCCGTTAATTTTTGAAAACCTCCGTTTCGTTAACGGAACTATGCCCAGCCATATCTGCAGTACGTTTTTATGTTTAGTTAATATATATAAAATATATTCAGATAGCCGTCCAATTTAATTTTTATGAGTAATTTTTTCTTTCTCAATTTCAAATTTTGAATTCAATTAATAGTTAACACAATGTTTGTTATTTATTATCGATGAACTGATACCTCCCAATCTCTAATTTGGTTTATCATCTTTATCTTAAACTGTTCACAGGGCTCCGCAACCCTCCATTTTAGAGAACAGCTTGCATGCCAGGGATACCTTAAATACATTAATATTACAAGATACAACAAATTTCTATCTTAAAGGGAGTGTTCTGCAAAAAATGAAAGAGGGTATAGGTTGACGTCGAACAGAATTCGATATCGAGCGCTACTAAATTTACTTATATTTGCTATTACGAGAAAATGTTTTAAAACGTTTTACCCCCAAGAGCGTCGCGTCCATACAAATTCACGTAATTCACGTAGTGCATTTCTCCACTCAGATCACATAATTCAATTAAATTTAAAACTGCTCATTCAGATATTACAACAGCTGTCGAATGCAATTTGATGCATTGCATGCATGGATAAAGTTGATATTTCATAATATTTCATTTTCTTTAATTAATATTTCACAATTACAGCTTGTTTTCACGGCTGGCGCTGGATTTTCGAGAATTACCAGAAAATATGAAGATGTCGTCTTCATTATCAAAAGTCCTCGAAACAGGAATGAATATTTTCAAAAGTAACTCTTTGATTATAAACAAAACAAAAAATATTATACTTTATGAACTTAATACGAATGTTGCATTCGACAATTGTAAGTAGGAATATCTGAATGAGTAGTTTTAAATCTAATTTAATTAATTACGATCTGAGTGGAAAAGGCAACTATAACGTGAATTTTCTTTGTCATTGACGCAACAAATAGAAGTAAAATTCTATTCGACGTCAACCTAAACCTCTTTTATTTTTCGCAAAAACTCCCTTTAAACTTGAAGAAAATTTTGTTTGTTCATTTGATATACGGATTTTCATTTGATTACGGAAAATTGACCCCAGAGCATTTATTTTAACAAAAAATTTTATTTTAATATCATAAGATACATATAAGAGGCTATAAAAGCTAAACTTTAGAAAAGAATAATACAATTTAAATATTTTTCTATGTGCCGTGTTTAAATTTAAATATTTTGTGACACACTAATTATTAGGAGCATTTACATATTATATATTTAACACACTGACACGTGTATTCATTTTTGATAAATTTATTTTATTTTTTAAATAATATTCACTAAAATTAGGCATACATAGCTTTACAGGAACTAATAAGAAACAAAAAACATTTAAGGTGGAAAAAATTAGTTTAGGGGACGTTATTTATGTAAAGTTTTAGAAAATTCAAATGAATGAATGGATAAGAGACTAAAAACAAAAATTGATAAAAACAATAATCGATTTTCATTGAAAAAAATAGCACCTGAATAAAAAACCCTGGGATTGGGCTCCAAAAAAGAAAAGAAGAAAACATGTCTTCAACATTTTATCAATTAATTTGTTATTAATTATTGAACTAAAATATTCTACTGCGTAGGACTGTCAGTGCAAGACTAGCAAGAACAACAACTATACACTATACAGCTGTGAAGCACAGTGTTGCGCAAAAATATTCTTTTTTTTTTAATTGTAACCATGAAGTAATTTTGATGAATTTGCACTTAATTTTTTTAAAATACCCCAAATGTATTCATATACACACATGTATTTCCAATTTGAAACACAAAAAGTTACGTAAACTGTGAATTTGAAGAATCTTATAAAACAGGAATATGGATTACAGAATACAGAAGCACTATAGGAGGGTGGTAGCGGAGGGGGAGAGAGGGGGAGTGCATTTCCTGTTTAAACTGCACACATTGCAAAGTACATGAATGCGTTAAAGATCAATCATTTTTTATTTATCCATCCCCATATAAATCTATTGAAATGTGTTCTGTGAAAAATATGTCCTCTCTATGAAATGTCTTGTCTATGAAATGTACTATCTATTAAATGCCCTTTCTATCAAATGTCCTATCTATGAAATGTCAATCTATGAACTAGACCAGGGCAAGACTAGACAGGTCACATATTGCCCGAAAACTCTGGGTTCACTGCGAGAAGGGAAAGAGGTTAAGAATCAGATTTGCCAGGCGAATTACATCTGAACTGCACTGTCAAATAGCGCCAGAACCCTGTTATTCATGATGTCCTCCTCAGGCTGCAACTTGCCAGACCAGCAAACCCATGGACAAACCAGCGGCTGCTCATCCAGAAGGAGATTGGGGTAATCACAAACTACCTCAACACACTCGCTGTATGCCGAGTCCATTAGCGCCTGATCCAATCAGAGTTCAGTCATGTGTTTGGTGTCTATTCTGAACCAATAGAAATTACATGGCGGTAACGTCTATCTTTCTATCTAGCTCATTATCCAATTAGAGATAAATCCTTATATCGGTGCTATAACAGTAAATGGAAATATTTACTTCTTCTGAAACTATGGTGAACAAGCAGCTGAACATGGCCCTCGCCAATATGGCGACGAAATATGTCTTTAAGATAACGGCTGAACACACCACGATGGCGGTATTCCCACAACCAGAAGAATGGTTTGAGCTACAAGACCATGTAACTAACAGACTCAATGGCGAGTAAGACGATATGATGTGTTCGGCAATGTCCTACTCGGCAGCAGGTTCAAGAGCCGGTACGGCTGCAAATATGACTTCTGTCCGCACTGGGGCTATTTACATCTATAGAAGGAGCGCCGGCCCCAACTTCACGGAATGACGGGTAATATAATGCTAATATAATGCTAATATAATGCTAATATAATGCTAATATAATGCTAATATAATGCTAATATAATGCTAATATAATGCTAATATAATGCTAATGTAATGCTAATATAATGCTAATATAATGCTAATATAATGCTAATATAATGCTAATATAATGCTATAAATCTATTTAATGTTCTACCTTTGAAATCTCCTTTCTGTGAAATGTCAATCTATTCAATGTCCTGACTATTAAATGTCCTTCTGTGAAATGTTAATCTGTAAAATGTCAATCTATAAAATGTACTATCAATGAAATCCCCTTCCTGTGAAATGTCAATCTATTTAATGCCTTATCTATGAAATGTCCTTTCTGCGAAATGTGTTCCTTGAAATGTCAATCTATGAAATGTCCTATCTATAAAATGTCCTTTCTATGAAATGTCAATCTTTGAAATGTCCTATTCATGAAATATCCTATTTATGAAATGTCTTATCAATGAAATGTCCTATCTATGAAAAATACTATCTATGAAATGTCCTATCTATGAAGTGTTCTATCTATGAAATGTCCTATCTATGAAGTGTTCTATCTATGAAATGTTCTTTCTAAGACATGTCCTATCTATAAAATGTCCTATTTATGAAATGTCCCATCTATGAAATGTCCTATTTATGAAATGTCCTATCTATGAAATGTCCTATCTATGAAATGTCCTTTCTATGAAATGTTCTATCTATGAAATGTCCATTCTATAAAATTGTCCTTTTTATGAAATGTAAATCTTTGAAATGTCCTTTCAATGAAATGTCCTATCTATGAAATGTTCTATCTATGAAATAATAATAATTTAATTAATTTTTTTAGAAAACGTTTGTAACGGATTTCGATAAATGTGAGTTGTGCGCGGCATTCTTAGATATTATTAGAGAAATAATCAACTTTCGGATAGTTAAAAAAATATATATATTATGAAATATCAACTATATACAAATGTGGCGAAAGATAATCGATGACTAAGGTTGTAATATCTGAATGATTTGTTTGAAATTAAATTGATTTTTTACGGTCTAAGTCGTATATTGCAATTTTCTCAATGTGTATGGAAGCTAAAGGGTGTCCCACATCATATTAGACCGCGTCAATGGATCTAAATTACGATTTGGGGGATAAATCAGAAAATTTAAGAAGAATGAATCATTTCAATTTTTCAAAAAATTTAATAAGGCTAATGGAAATTTTTTCATGCAGAAAAGGCTAGAATTTTTGAGTATTTTATGTGTATTTTTGCGTTAAAGATTGTCGAGAAAGTCTAATATGATATGGGACGCTCTGTAAGTTATTCGGTATAAGACGTCTTTAAAAATTTTCGCCTTATAGACGCAACAGATAGAAGTATGATTAGTAGCGATTAAAAGCGCTTTTTTATCGCATTAAGCCTATACCCCCTTTCATTTTTCGCGAACACTCCTTTTAATGATATTCATTTATAACGAAGGGTATAATTTGTCCTCTAAGTGACCTTAGAAAAAACGATTAGCCCGACCCGCCACCACCCCCATAAGATAATGAGATGTGAGCCTCAGGGTAGGGGTCCTGATAGGATCGTATACTGCAGTAAATACGAACTGGGTCAGGCCGCATGTCGGTTTGGTCGTCATGCAGCCCAGGCTGTTACCCCAGATATAGATGTTAAGGAGTGTAATCAATAATTGTTATGTATATGTAATATTGAATGTACCTAATAACATTAAAAAAATATTTTCTAAGAGATTATTTCATCTCACCATGCTGTTAACAAACGAAGCCAGAAAATATAGTTTTCTGTAAAATAATTATAATTAAAACCTACGGCATAATTGCTACGGAGATTCCTACGCCCAGGATTAGGAGAAGGAACACCCCTCCACACCCAAACATTACTATACGTCGAGGCTCCGTCGTGAAAATATGGGAAAATCTGAAAATAAAGTTATTTTCTATAAATATATTTCTTATCCTTTTTTTGTATTTGTTTTTAGGTAGAGTTTGATAAAATACAGTTAGGTTTGATTAAATACAGTTAGATTTGATTAAATACAGTTAGGTTTGATTAAATACAGTTAGATTTGATTAAATACAGTTAGATTTGATTAAATACAGTTAGATTTGATTAAATACAGTTAGATTTGATTAAATACAGTTAGGTTTGATTAAATACAGTTAGGTTTGATTAAATACAGTTAGGTTTGATTAAATACAGTTAGGTTNAAAATTAAAAAACTTTTGAGAAGGTCAACAAAGATTTGAATTTATTTATATATAACCAGACAAATTTGCTTTTCTTAAACAACTTTGTACAGGGTGTCCCAATAAACATGGGAATTCATTTCAGTGACGTATTCGATATCGTCTTTTTAAATAATTCTTTGATTTAGTATAGTAATACCTGCGAATTCCTTATACTTACATGTTGCATTATTGCCTATAGAAAGTTAAAATGAATACGATACATGTTAAATTCAATAGTTCACAATTTAGTAGGTAATGAACTCTGACAATGTTTGCGAAATGGTTGACCCCCCCCCCATATTTCCCTCCCATACAGGGCATATTGGAAACTCTTTTGTTCTACACTTTCCAACAGAAAATTTCAAAAAATAAGCTGAAATAAGACAAAATATATAGCAAAACGTTTTACAACAGCATTACGGAATACCGAAAAAAATCATTTTTACAAAATTGAAACGAGCATTTCCTTACTTAGATTTTTATGAGCATTCATTTGATAAATGAATGTAGTCGATACATATTTAAATTTACATGTATTATTTAATATGGTAGATACATATTTAAATTTACATGTATTATTTAATATGGTAGATACATATTTAAATTTACATGTATTATTCAGTATGGTAGATACATATTTAAATTTACATGTATTATTTAATATGGTAGATAAACATTTAAATTTACATGTATAATTTAATAAAATAGATAAATATAAAATAAATATAATTAAATATAATTTCAGATAATTGTTTCTATTGTCGCTTGTAGCTGTCTGCATGACTTAAAATAAATAATTTATAATCTGCATTGTTAAGATATTAGATTTATAAATTGTAATGACTCGGATTCTAACTTATTCACTACACAAACAAACTTGGAATTAGAAGCTAGTAGAGTTTTCTGGGAGTATAGGACTGCCGACTGATGATAAACAAAACCAACAACAGCTGATTTTGATATAACCGCGCGTTTCTTCCAGCTTTCTACGCTCCTACTAGTGCGTTATATTGCGTACACACTTACTTAAAAACATAAAAAATCCTCCCAAATTATACCGTGTTTACGTAAATATTTTTCACAAGAATTTTTAGAGATATTTGAATTAGATTCGTTTATATTTAAACGATAATTTAGTGTACTTCGAATTCTGGAAACTTAACAAAAGGTCGTCTTCAGATTGAGAAATTTCGCACAAAATAATATCCTTTTCTTAATAGTTATTATAACCCTTATTATTAAAGTAACGCAGACAGATGTATAGAATACATTCAGTTTGTAATATGTTTTACAAACACTTTTATGAATATCGTAATTTGATTTGTGAATTTGTTCGATTTCTGTGAGAAAAAAAAAATTATGAAGGTAATTAAATTTGATGTGCAAAGATTTCTATAAGTGCAATTTGCAGGTCAAATAGTTTATAATCTTTTGATTTAAAACGTGTAAAATTAAAAAACTTTTGAGAAGGTCAACAAAGATTTGAATTTATTTATATATAACCAGACAAATTTGCTTTTCTTAAACAAC